TTTTGGTAGAGACTTCAGCTACTTGGGAAGCTGAAAGAAGAGAATTGCTTAAGCCTAAGAGTTTGATGTTGCTATAAGCTGTGACGCCACGCCACACTACTGAGAGCTCCATAGTGAGATTCTGTCTCAAAAAAAAAAAAAAAGAAAAAGAAAAAGAAAAGGACTGGCACAATGTACACCCTCAATAAATATGTATTTAACAAAGTATGGATACATTAAATAAATATGAAAGCTTGTACTAAAACTCGAATGTTAAATGAAAAATATTCAGGTAGCTCTGAAATAGTCCCATGAAAAAACAGAAAAACTTCCTATGTAAAAGAAATATGTGTGATTAGTAACAATACAGATTATTTAAAAGTAGCAATATTTTAAAAAATTAATCATAAACTACTCATTATTGAAGTTTAATTAATGCTACACTGTAACAGAATTGCATTCTCTAAAATCATATGTGCATATTATACCAATATTCTTCAAAGTAAATTTCCCTACAACCCGTTATAGTCACGTATTTGTGTGTGCCCTACACACATACAGCTACTCCAGTCAATATATAAGAAACAGAAAAAAATTAGAAAACTCTTATGTTTGACTTCCTACTTAATTGTCTACTTTCCTCTTTAATATTTTTAACTATTAAGAATTTCACTCACGGATGGCACCTGTGGCTCAAAGGAGTAGGGCACTAGCCCCATATGTCAGAGGTGGCGGGTTCAAACCCAGGCCCAGCCAAAAACTGCCAGAAAAAAAAAGAATTTCATTCACTAAAATCTCTCTAAAGAATATTATATATGTCAAAATATTCAAATCTAAAAATGGAGAAGTCAGTTATGCCCAAGTTTGAAAAATCTTGACATCAATCAGACTTAAGAATAATCAGAACAGAACACAAAGTGTTTAATTAAAGAAAAAATGACTAAAAATAGGATTAAAATTGAGTTACTAAGTGTTACTGAATCAATAGAGTTCAAACACGGAGAAACTCATTATTAAAATACATGTTAAAAATAGAAAAAAAAGAGTATTTTGTCAACCAAAGTTTTAATTAACAGAAGTTCAGAGTGATTCTTCCAAAGTCCCCTTTGTTCCATTCTACTATGTTTGAACTTTTCTTAGCATTTGAGCTGATTCAGTCTGTTGGCTTTTGGATAAACTGGGGTAGTGGAATGGCCCAATGCCAAATGGGTTCTTTCCTGTGGACCAAAACTTTGTATGATTCAATACTGCACAGGCGTCATGGAAATGACAAAACGTGACCTGTCTGTCATCTGCCTCTCTAGTTCTTTAGATGCACTCACAGTGTGAATTGATGCCACAGCCTTCTCCTGCCCTCTTATGTGTCTCCCCAGTCCTGACCCGCAGGGGAGACCTCTGAACACCCACCTAGAGAGGCCACCGCTGCTTCTGTGATCAAAGGAAACAGACAGCTGGATTTAGGAGAAGAGGCAGAGAAGGAAAGCCCTGATTTATATCCCTGCTATGTCTTTTGACTAAGTGACCAGAGCAAGTTATTTAGCTTCTCTGAGCCTGTTTGCTCATCTTTAAATCTGTATAATAGTATTCTGAAGTGTTAGTCTGCAAATTAAATTGGGAAACACACGCGATGGCTTTAGGACACAGAATTGAATTTACTTGATGGTACCTGATGTTTTGCCAAATTGTAGTCAACAAAAGAAAAAAAAGTCAAAGACATTCTGAAACACCAAGGCAAAGCCATTTGTTTCTAAGAAACACATTCTTGGGCTTGTACATGTAGCCCGAGCCAGACCCTCACCTGGGACCTGTGTGACCTCGTGTGACCAGTGAAATCACCCTGGTGTACTCTTCAACTCTACATGTAGTTCTTTTTGCTTCTTCTTCACTGTGCCTCTCAAAAGCTGGTACCTTGTTCATTGAGACAATACACCAACCTCTCTGCCAGGCCTTGCAGGAACTGCTGAGGTTGCTGCCCTAATTACTGAGTTTCTGGATCGGGAGTATGTTCTGATGCTTTTGCGACCTCTGCCACCCCTCTCCACCTCCCATTTCACTGGGGGGGCCTCATCCCCGGGTAGTGGGTATCCAGGCGCTCAGGGTCCTCTCTGCCTCCTCTGCCACTTCGGCTTCCTCAGTGGGAACCACTCCCACAAGCTTGCGTTCTCCTGCGGGGCTCCAACAGGCCAAGTTCTAGTCTCCCACCCTTACTAAAATCCTCACTACTTCAATGAGACAAGTCTCAAAAAAAAAAAAAGCTAGCCAGTTCCTATTAAGTGGCAAGTATGCCATGGATATGATATTTGGAGTTTAATTGAAGAACCCTTAACTCCAAGCTAGAGGGATAGTTCAGAAAATTAAGGCAAACTAGTGATTTTGGAGAGTACTTCTCTCCTAGAAAGCCGACTCATCCAGCTATCTTGGATAGAAAATGTCAAATGTCTTCATACTTGGAGATAAATTGGGAAACCTATGCTGTTTCTTCATTTGCTTTCCAAGAACTAGGTCTCTGTTCAGCACCCTGATCTCCTCCAGAATTTTCCAACAGTTACATGCCAGGCAAACAGAAATGCATACAGACCTTGTAAGGTCATATCCTGTTGTTAGTCTTTGCTACCGTGGTGAGGTGGCATCTCGCTGGTTTGTGTTCAGAGTCCCCAAGACCATCCTCAGGTTTGTAGATTTGCTATAAGGACTCAAAGAACTCAGATGACTCTCGTACTCACAGTGACAGTTTATTATAGCAAAAGGAGATAGTAAAATTAGCAAAGGAAGAAGCCACAAAGAGTCTGGGAGAAACCAGGTGGGTGCTTCCAGATGTCCTCTCCCGGTGGGGTTGCATGAAAGCAGCACTTATCCTCAGCAGTGATGTGTGACAACCTGTATGAAGCAGTGCCACTCCCTGAGACTTGGTGTCCGGGGTTTTTATTGGGGTCACTCATATAGGCATAGAGCATCCACGTAGCTGACCTGAGTTACCCAGTTTCTAGCCTTTCAGAAGTCAAACCAATAACAGCACAGCCCAAAGCTCAAGGCCAACAAATAGGCATTCGCCATAAGTCACCTTTTAACATAAACTATCTGACATTGCCCAAGGTCCCAGGATTACAAAGACACTCTTATCAGGATATGCCAAGGACTAACCTCCCAGGAACAAATCTAGGGCCAGTCCTTTCTTTGGAATGTGCAGGGTTTGAGTATTCCAAGGCCACTGAGTTAATCCTCTAGTGCAAATGGATGTAAGAACCAAAATATTGTGTGTTAAGGAGAAAGCTTTCAATATGCTTATTTCATGATCCAGGTGGTGGTAAAAAATGTTTTTGTAGGGACACTGAGCAATGTGATTTCATTCTGCCTTTAAATACATGTAAAATGTGAACATAAACACGTTTGGAAGAAGAAAATTTGAAACATAGACCAATTTCCACTGTGTTCTCTATTTCCTAAGGTGATTTGAGAGGTGTTGCTCTAAATAAGCAGAGCTCAAACACAAAACTGCACAAGGGGAGGAGATTCCGTGGTTGTTTATTAGTGCTATAAAGTATTTACGAGGAAGTGTTCTCCCCATGTGAGAAAACAGTTTATAGCAAGGGGCAGCATATTGTTAGAAGAAAATGGCTTTCTTCTTTAGACTTTAAAAGCACTGGTCAGACTAATAGTTTTGAATTATTTTATGGTACATTGGAGTCCACCTTGATAAAGAAAGTCAAACTCTTTCTCAACTAAGTTTGTAGAAAAGTCAAGTCATGGTATTTCACTCCTACACCTTTCTATCAAATAAGTCATTCAGTGAATTAATGAATACACATAATTTGAAAAAAAGAGTCACTGATAAAAAGGTCCAAGTCACCATAATAGCCTTAATGTTAATAATAACATAGAAATCTGTATTTGCATTCTGAGTTGGAATCCTCCTTTCTTCAATTACTGGCCACATAATTTGAGGCACATTATTCTACCTGTATAAGCCTCAACTACTCTGTCTGTCAAATGGGGATAGCACCAATTTCAAGTTTTAATTATAAAAATTAATTTTATAATTTTAGAAGATAATACATGTAAATTCTCATACTGCCTGGTGCACAGTGGTTATTGGGCTCTACTTTGACTAGTAAATCATCAGGCCAGTGGCTCGGTTTATAAGTAGCACAACTTTACTGTTAAAAGCATAAACTCTAGCAGCAACTTCTCAGTTTGGAATATTGGCTTTCTTGTCACTAATTTGGAGACAAGAAATCTCTTTATTTCTTTGTCAATAAAGGAGTAAAGGTTATGGTAAAAACTCAATGCCTGCAAAGGATTTAGAATAGCACCTGACCTATTAAGTACTCAATAAACATCAGCTATTATTGTTGATTTTGTTTTCAAATGTCTCAATCTGCCAATAGTTACTCTCCCCTAATTAAACCAAACTAGCATAGCAGAGCATAAGTGCCGGAATCAGACAGGTATGGGTTCAAACCTGGGCCATGCAAAGGCCACAGTATCAATCACTTAATTTTCCTGAGCCTCCATTTCCTCATCTACAAAATGGATTATGGATTATATCAGTCTTGAACTGAAATGATCAAAATATTTTTAAGCTTTAGAGATCACTACCACCATCAGTCTAACTTCTGTATGCCAATTACATCAGCATAAATGAAATTATTTACCTTAAAATTACATCATAAAACCTTATAATTATACAGTGCTCACAAAATGCCTTAAAATATTTATTAAATAATAAATAATAAAAATAATAATAAATAATTAAAATGATTATTTTAATATTAATTCATTCAGAGAACAATTGTTTAAATAATATTTTTGTACCAGAAACTGTGCTAGTTACTAAAGGTTGCACTAGAGTAATTTCTTCCTTCAGGAAACCCATATTCATATTGTCAGTTTTTCTCTGGCTCCAGTAGGCCTGGACACCCACTAAGCAAAGAACAGAACTCTCTTTGTTTTTCTGGTCCTGTTAAAACATTCCTTCCAGGTTACAGAAGATTTCCAGCAGATGACCTGCTGATGTTTTGCACCACACTGAGTCACTGAAATGTGATGGACACACCTGCCCCTGCCCCCCAAGCCATACATGTACCATAACTTGAATTGCTTTAATAGAGTCCCGCTGACCCTAACTTGAGGCTGACGCCATTTTCGTGACAGCCCATCTGCTTGCAGATATTTTAGTGAATCCCTGCTATCAACTCTACTTGCCCTGTTCTCTGCAGCACCTTTGACTCTAACACTTATCCAGAAAAAGACATAAAGACAAATGGCATGAAATATATGAAAAATGCAAAGATAAAGATTGCACATAATAATAAGGATTTCAAGCAGAGGTATTCCCTGGCCTCGAGGATCTATAGAATGCAAGCTGTAGTAAGTCCTGTTCTCCCTTTTCACCTCTATTAAGACATGATCTATCAATGGACAGTGAATGTTGAATAACTCAACTCATATGGAAAACCACATTATAATCTTCCATCTTTCAGCTGGATTCTAAGTTTAACTCCACCAATTATATATCCCTCCACAAGTCAATATCTAGCCTAGAGGTCAGTTTTCCCCCATAATAAATATCTTTATGCATCTCTATCTGTCCTGTTTATTTGGGAGGGGTTGCTGAAAATTTCAAATGAGCTAACATATTTGAACTTGCAATGAAAGATCTCCAGTAAAATGTGAGGATATTATAAGACTTTATCCCCTAAGAAAACTGCAGGGGAGTATATTTTATGAAATGCTGTAAGTATTATGTAAAGTTTTGCGAATGAGAAGAATTTTATGAGGAAGGGAAGAATGAGATGCCTAGCCCCAGGGAGGAAGGACTGCTTTCAGTCTCTACCAGGAAAGCACATGCTGGCACATATTTTGAGCAAGTTACACATGACTGTTCTTCAGGAGGATACTTGCCATTGAATTGACTCCATGACTTCTCAACTCTTGCAAATAAAAGTGATCAACATACATATCCTCTTCTGGAAATCGCCTGCTAGTTATCTACAGTAAGTAGATGGACTAGTAGATATAAATAAATGTTGGGAAGCAAAATCTGATACTGAAGTATTGACCTTTGATAGCTTCTAGCTCAATGTGATTGATCTTGACACCATGTTTAACAGATAAAGACATCCCACAATTATCTGTCCCCTGAATCAAGTCTTTTGTGGCTGATCTGAGTTGGTTTTTTATGATTTTTTAAGAACTCAAAACAAAGCAAAGTTATGACTACAATTGACTCTAGAGTGTGAGGTATTATTTTAGAGAAAAGTAGATATTGGAGAAAACTATTCAGCTGAAGAATAAATGGCTTTTGAGATCAGACAGATAGGAGTTATGGGAGCAGGGAGAGGGATTGCACAAGTAAAGGAAGGTGAGCAAAGGTGGAATTGAAGGTGTGTGTGTTTCCCTCCACAGACTGAGGCAGCTCTGATGTACGATGCCGTGTACATGGTGGCCATTGCCTCCCACCGGGCATCCCAACTGACCGTCAGCTCCCTGCAGTGCCATCGACACAAGCCATGGCGCCTTGGACCCAGATTTATGAACCTGATCAAAGAGGCAAGTGATGCTCCCTCACGGCCCGGTTGCCTTAGCTTAGCACAGTGTGTCCATTTGGCCTGGCCCTTCCCACATGGTTTGTTAGTATGATGCCTGTAAGCCACCATAACCAGACTTCTTAGATTTCAGGGTCAAAACTTTGCCTAGAAGAACAACAAGACTTTTCCAATGTGATGCTGAGAAATTTAAAGAAGGTATCAGATCCTAACACTCACCTTCCTTCACTTTAGCTGGCTACTGCTGGCATGCCATACATGTTCATGAGAGCTGTGCGTGCTTATTCCACAGTCCATGAGTCAAGGGGAGGGTTGGTCCACCAGTGGCATGTTCCAGAGATTGTTCCAGCATTGTCAGCCTACAGTCTCAGTGGCCTCCTAAGGCTCAGGCTGTATAGGACTGAACAGAAAGATGAGTTTATCTTAATGATAGGTTAATTGTTTTGCAATTCATTAACCAGTCAGAAAAGTCTAGTCCTAGTCAAGAACTACCTAATGCACTTAAGGATTTGCAAGAGTACAGGGCGTTGGGGGGGGGGTGGAGCTCTTCCTGGATGTCTAGGATCCTGGACTATTTCCTACCTTCTCCTTTTCTCTGAAGAAGTTTGACTCTCCTTCACAAGACTCTCTTCTGGATCCCGGGACTCCATACAGAGATGTACCCCTGGGTTACTATTGAGTCCAACATGTGCCTCAGGCTTTGTCTGGACTTGACAATATGAAATAGTGCTCTTGGAAGCAGCCGGCCCCGACTGCATGTGCGCCATATTCTGGGATGCCGCTGTAATGTTTTCTCTGTGGGATGCAGAGATTTACTTCTCAAGTGAAAAGCATCTTTTTTCTTCCCTGTCCTGGAGAAGGTGGGAGCGAGACATAGCCCCAAGCAAAAATAGGAGGAAATATAGCACCAGAGAAGAATGTCAGCCAAGGACAAGGGAGACAGCTAAGGAATAGCATCTGCTTTGAGCTGTGTCTCTGCTGGGCCCTTCAGCACCCGCCTATCCTATCTCACCTGTTTAATCTACTTCCCCACTGAAGGTTGTCTCTGGCTCACAAGGTTAAGGACCAGAATGGCAGGATGTGGCAGAATTAAGTCCCCAGATTCCAAAGCAAAGGTTGCCTATAAGGCTGGGACTAGGGTGTAACTTAAAGAAACATTCACTCTGGGATGTGAACCTTGCCCTTGCAAGACCGAGAGGGATTTCTCCCATAAACTCGGTGTCCTGGGCACCTCCCTCTCTCACCTCATCCTAGTCCTGGCAGTGTCTGTGTGGTTTAAATTCCAGCTCCACTAGCACTCATCTGCAATATAACCTGGGCTAGTTATTTAAACCCTGTGTCTGTCTTTCCATCTGTAAAATGGGAAAACCTTCATCTACCTCACAGCTTTACTATAAGGATAAGGAATAAGGCTCGTACCTTGGGAAGCATAGTGCAGGGACATAGCAAAGACCTAAAATATTCACTATTCTCTTACCCCTGGAACATGCCACTAGTGACAGCCTGATCTGTTTACGAACGATGAAGCCAGGAATTTAAAACTGGTAACAACAATAACAAAGAAATCACAAGTAGGCGTGAAATGAAATACTCTTTCTGACAGCTACATAAATCTGACATACCGGGTCTAATAGAAAACATCACAGCTCCTCTCCCTGCGGCTATCACGGTTATGTCCTGAATTGCCTTCCTGATTACCTTGATCTTTAACAAGAAAACAGCCGGTTTCCTTTTATCTCATACCAGTGCAAGAAGAGGCAGATGCCACATGAAAGCTTGGGATCAAACACTCACAGCCCCCAGAATACCTTTTTACTCGTACTTAAGTTGCATAAGAAGATGAAATTCCCAAGTCACATTTAGGCATGTTTAAAGAAATAATGAGCTACAAGATGAGGGACCACATTGAAAGCAAGAAAGCATTTTATATTCATTCACTCCTAACAGCAAATTTCTGTTTCTGGGGCTCCAGAGTCAGGAGGGAAAGGAAGGAGGGGGAAATGCACCTGAATCCTGGATCACCACTGTGTTCATTCTCTCTTTTGTCTTCTGAGTCATGACGCCATCTGCTACCTTAGGAGGGGCTAGGTACCTGCGGAGAGATGGGAGACAGGGTAACCAGGAGCAATGCCCCAGCCTGGGGCTGGCATCGAGAGCATTCTGACACAATCTAAAATGTGTCAAAAAGAAAATGCAGGGGGTTACTTAAATAAGTACAAGTACATAATTTAACAAAACTTTATAGGTATCAGGTTTTATTAGGAAACATGAAGTAAGGCGATTGGTCCTACAATATCCCCTGGACGTTTCTTTAGTATGTCTTTTACTAACTCTTGCTTTCTAAGGGAGTTCCAAACTCTGACTTTCTAAAGGAATTCCAGAATTAGGCTTAGTGTAAAGGAGTTAGTCATCAGCTTGAATTTATGGAGTGAATCTAGCACAGAAAGGGAACTTCCCAAGCCGAGATAGTTGCGTGTGCCCTAATTCCTGATAACTCCACACGTGATTAAAAATCAGTACGCCTAGTGTTTGAGGCTGGCTAGAAAAAAAGAGTCAATGAACGTTTGAAACATGGTAGAGTACAGTATAGTGTGAGCTGTCCGGGCATTTGCTGAACAGATGCACACTAGATTATAGATCCCCACTCCACAGCCATTCCTGGAACTCCATTTACAAAAGTAAATATTAATTTAGTACCATAGGGATAACCCTCTCCCCCCAAAACAAAAGATGCAGTTTCTACCACCTACTAATAAAAATCCTACATGGTAGTGGAAAGGCAGGCTTCATTGAAAGCTTTCTCATGCCTCACTCACTTGAAACCTACACTCAAGATAAGAGTGTGTACTGATCTGGTTCCGGATCCCCTGTGCCAACTGTCACCCTTGTGTTGTGCTCCAACCCCAGCACTCACTGAACCCACTGTGGCTCCCTGGACATGTCACAAGCTCCTACCGAATTCCTTGACCTCTGATTAAAATGTCATCCTCCTCTGGGTCATCCTTTATGTTTCAACTCAAGCACCGGCTCCTGTCTGCTGCCTCTGACTCACAGCTGGCAGCTCCTCACCTCCATCGCTGCTGCTGTTATGCCTCTGCATTTGTTTGTGTGTCTGCTTCCAAGCTGCCCTTGCATGGTCTCTGTTCCCTAAGTTTTTGCACAATGGTGGGCACAGAATCAGCCTCCAATAGGCAGACATCAAGCAAATGAATGAGTTAATAAATGAATGAACAACCAGAGGAACGGAGTAACACACACGTGTAATGTGCAGGCAGATACAAATGCTGTAGGACGCACTCAGCACATAAATGTCAGAAACAATTCAGTAAGACAGAGTCAGGGCTGGACCAGGCCTGTCCAACCAGGCCACGGGTTTTGATGGGAGAGTGAGCAAGGTTTTCAGAAAAGACCAACTTTTTTTCTTTCTTTCTTTCTTTTTTTTTTCCTGAGACAAAGTCCAACTCTGCTGCCCAGGTTAGAGTGCAGTGGCATCATCATAGCTCACTTCACCCGCAAATCACTGGGCTCACAGAACGCTCCTGTCTTAGCTTCTCCAGTAACTGAGAGCACAGGTGCATACCACTATGCTTGGCTAATTTTTCTACTTTTTGTAGTCATGGGCTCTTGCTCTTGCCCAGGTTTGTCTTCTACTCTAAGCCCAAGTGAAGTAACCATTCCATCTTGGCCTCCTAGGGAGCTAGGACTACCCACATGAGCCACCGCTACTGGCCAAAGACCAACCTATTTGAATCTGGCACGGGGAACACAGAGCCTCAGATTTCATCATCGTTTACAGTATGTGTGAACTTAGTCATTTAGCCTTCTTGTTTCTCAGTTTCGTCTTTTATAACATGGGACCAAAAACGCCCACTCCCCGTGTTTGTGGGGGTTGCATGCATTAACATATACAGCCTAGCAAAATGTTTGTCATGTAATAGTTGCTTGTGAAAAATACACACCCTCAAATGAAACCGTCTATTAAAACGGTATACTGGCCGGGTGAGGTGGCTCACACTTCTAATGAGGCCAAAGTAGGTGGGCTGCCTGAGCTCAGGAGCTCAAGACCAACCTGAGCAAGAGTACGACCCCATCTCTACTAAAAATAGAAAAACTAGCCAGGCATTGTGGCACACGCCTGTAATTCCAGCTACTCGGGAGGCTAGGGCAAGAAGATTTCTCATGCTGTGAGCTCTGATCCCACAGTATTCTACCCAGAGTGACAGATTGAGACTCTGTCTCAAAAAAAAAAAAAGTATGCCATGTGTGGTAGTTGTCAAGAGAAATGAAGCAAGCAAAGCATAAACATTAAGTACCGTGTATATATGTAATAGCAAGCATATTGTAATTACAATCAGTGTGTTTGCTATATTGTTATTGGTGTCATCGTTATTATTGTTGGAGTCTAGGGTGAAGGAGTGGTTGTTTGCAGAAAGGGGACAGGACCCAGCAGTGGGATATCAGGCATTCTGTGGAGACAGGCAGCAGCCGGAGGTCAACTGCGAGATGCCAGGGAACGAGGGGGATTGCAATCATAGAACACACACATGATTGCTCAGGAAGGGCAAAAGGACATTCGGTGATAGTCAACCAGGCTGAGGGTCTTAGCGTTTTCAGGTTTCTGTGACAAAATACCATAACCTGGGTGGCATATAAACTACAGAAATTTATAGTTCTGGACGCTTGAAAGTCCGTGATGGAAGGCTGGCAGATTCAGCTTCTGAGAGGGTCGCTTCCTGGTTCATGGATGGCTGCCTTTCACTTTGTCCTCACGTGGTGGAAGGAGGAAGGGGTCTCTGGAGGGCCTTTGGAGAAAGCCACTAATGCTATTCATTCGCCTCTCAAATACCCACTGCCTAATACATCACATGAATTTGGGGGATACACAAACTTTCAGACCGTAGCATAGGCTACCAGAAAACCCTGGCAAGTGTTAATACTTTGGGGGTCAGTCTGGGAAATGGTAGCTGGATGTGGAGGATGAGGAAGCCAAAATGTTTCCTGTCA